CTTTGCCAGGGAGTGCAGATTGGGTGGCACACTGACCAAGGGCATATATTATAACCTTACTGCATCCAAATCTGTTAAACACTTGATCCCAACTTAAAATAATTTGTTTTGCATCTTGTTAAGTAGCCAAGTCATACACCCATTTTTGTCATATGCATTTGTAGATGGATCTTCAGTTTAGCACACATGCAACTTCCTGTTCACAGTTTCAAACTCCTCTGAATGGTATCTGTCATTATCTAAACCAGTGGTTCTCAACCAGGGGTCCAGGGCACTCCTGGGGGGGCCACGAGCAGGTTTCAGGGGGTCCACCAAGCATGGCTGGCATTAGACTTGCTAGGGCCCAGGGCAGAAAGCAGAAGTGCCACCACCCTTAGCTTCTCAGTGCCCCCTATGGTGTGAGGGGCCCCGGGCAAGTGCCCTCCTTGTTAGCCCCTAACACCGGCCCTGGTTTTTATATGCAGAAAACCAGTTGCTGTGGCACAGCTGGGCTGTGGAGTTTTTATAGCATGGCGGGGTGGCCTCAGAAAGAAAAAGGTTGAAAATTCCCGATCTCGACATCCCATGACGGCTTTGCCAGATGGACTTGTTTGAGCTATTTTAAACAAACTTAGTTTTTTAATTTTAACATCAAATGATCACTATTCATTTTGTATACACTTGCTCTAATTACTTTGCCCTCAGTTTTATTGTCTATTTTGGGACTCACAGTTTGTTAATTTATTTGTGCCACAAACGAATCTGTTGTAGAACCTTGTAAATTTATTAACAGACTCAAACAAAATACTCTGCTTCTGCATCATCGTCAGAGCTTTGTCCTGCAGCAATATACATGTGAATGTCTTTTGCTTTTGTGTTTCTGCAATTTGTACTGCATGGAGCACACTTATGCAAAATGGCTGTTTTTATTGTATCATGACACTGCAACTCATGTGCTGGATACATTTGTGCCATGTTATGATTGACCCTGTATTTATTTCAAACAGATCTGGTTTCTGCCATTTCTTTACCCTTGTATTTTAGCTTCACATCTTTTGGTATGCATTTTTAATTAGATGAACTTCAGTTCTTACACTGCTTGCCAGCCACTTCATTTAGCAAGCACAGTTTTTAGTAGTCCTGCAAATATCCACTGTTCTTTAAAAGTCTAGTCTATTTCTTGTTATATCACCAATCTGTTAAATATTCAGATTCACAGACTTACCTTTATTACTTACACTGACCATTACATTACAAATCTAACATCCAGCAGTTCATTTTTTATAAAGAAAATTTACCTTCCATAAATATCTTGGTGTAGTTCACGGTATTCTTGAACATTTTAATTACTTTGTACAGCAGTTTCCAGTACTTTACATGCTCCCACTGGAATTTATTTGTAGATTTCTAGTGCCTCTGTGTCTGCAACATGCAGTAGTGTGGAAGATTTCACCCTCTCCTGACTTCTCTGTAATATAAATTTTTGTGGGGGGATATAGGGAAGCTGTGCAATAATTTTCTCCAGTTTTCTACCAAATTCCTTACTAAACCAAAGGGATTCAGGTGGATTCATTTTCTCAAAAGAAAACAATACCCTTTAGTTAAATAGTTACTCACTATACACCTGTCTAATGTGTTTGTAGCTAAGTGCAGTGCATGAATGTATAGTCCAGGCACCCACAAGCCAATGAATCTACCACTATTCAAACCAGGGGTAGGGAAACTTTTTGACCCAAGGGCCACAGCTGGTTATGGAAATTGTATGGCGGGCCACGAATGCTCATGAAATTGGGGGTTGGAGTGTGGGAGGGGGTGAGGGCTCCGTCTGGGGGTGCAGGCTCTGGGGTGGGGCTGGGAATGAGGGTTGAGGGTGCAGGAAGGTGCTCTGGGCTGGGACCGAGAGGTTTGGAGGCAGGAAGGGGATCAGGGCTGAGGCAGGGGGTTCGGGTTTGGGAGGGGGTCAGGGTTGCAGGCTCCAGGCGGCGCTTACCTCAAGAAGCTCCCAGAAGCAGCGGCATGTTCCCCCTCAGGCTCCTACGTGGAGGTGTGGCCAGGCAGCTCTTCGTGCTGCCCCATCCGCAAGCGCCACCCCCGCAGCTCCCATTGGCCGTGGTTCCTGGCCAATCGGAGCTGTGGGGACGGAGCTTGGGGCAGGGGCACCATGCGGAGCTTTCAGGAGCTCTTGCCACTTCCAGGAGCCACACGGCGTCCCAGACCCCACTTCCCAGAGGGACCTTGAGGGCCAGATCAGGGCTGGATGCGGCTCCCAGGCAGTAGTTTGCCCACCACTGGTCCAAACCATGCTTCAAGAACTGAATTTGCTTGTCAAATTCAGGTAGACCTGAAAATTGGTTTCAGAATGATAAAGTTCTAGTTCTCTCAGGACAGGATAAAATGTTATGCATTTGTCTAGAAATAAATGGCTTTGCTATGTCTACACTTACAGTGGCATGTAGAGTACAGGTGCTACGCTTCCAGTTAGCATAGGTGCAAATAGCAATGTAGAAGGCAGGGCACTGCTTAGGTGAGTAGAGTAAAAACACATCAGAACCTTAAGGAATATACCCTACACAGTTCTCCATATGCTTGAGCAGCACATCCCACATCTACACTGCTATTTTTATCAGTAGTGTGACAGTGTCCCACTGCCAGAGCCCTTTCCCCTATGCAGTGGGGAAAGGCTCTAGTAGGCAGAGGGCAGCCGGGAGCTGCCAGAGCCTTTCCCCACTACATTTAAGTGTAGAGAAGGCATGTGATTTGAGTCCTCCTGTAAGGTAAAGCAGTGCTGCTATATGGACAATGGTACCCTACTTGTGAACTAACCCTCTATGGATTTGTGACAGAATTACTCTGGAGGGCAATTTTATGAACGTGTACCACTGTCGGCACTTTGCGATACTATTTCTTTGACAGATTTCCCTTAATGATGTAACTAAGTTAGCTTTATGCCATGTAATATAAACTCTTCAGTTAAGGTCTGATTATGTGCTATAACTACAAAGTGTAATGATTAACCTAAAGCAGCTCTAAAATAGTTACCTTACTCTCATTAACTGGAGCTAGTGACTTCTGTTTGGTCTCAGAGTTTCACAGTTCAGCTACTATTCACTCACAAATGTTGTTAAATGTGAATAATGTTTGACTTTTTTGCTACTAATGTCACAGTGGCTGGTCATAGTTTATGAAAAGAAAAATAGGAACAAGTTTAAAATGCGGTACGTGTACCAGAGAATTACTGAGGTTGGTCTGTAGTATGTTGTTGATTTATCTAGTAGAGCCTCATACAGTGGCTGGCTAGCAGTAGCATTTACTGTTTGGGGAGCTTTACAATTACCAATTCAGTCTCACAACACTCCTTGAGGAATTAAGTATTATCTCTGTTATATCTGTGGGAAACAGATGCACAGCAAGGTTAAGTAACTTGCCCAGGGCACAAAACCAGGCAATTATCGAGCTGCAGTTGAACTGGAGTTCCTGTGTCACAGACTCGTATGTGTATTATTCACTAGATCCCAATGCCTCTCTTCAGTACTTCAGAATGCTGTGCAAATATTATGCATTCGTTGAATGCTGGTGCGGTACTTAGGTTGCACAAGGGAAACTGAGAAAACACAGCAGCAGAACTGAGACAAGAGCTTGTTGACATGGGGACCAATTAATCCAGATATCCTTCATCATAGAGTTTAAGACTGGAAAGGACTACCAGAACATCTTGTCTGACCTCCTGTATATCACACCACCAACACCCCCAGCAACCACACATTAAGCCTAACAGCCACAATTAGATCAAAGTATTATAGCCCCTAGGAGACTGGACTATTATGTGTCACAGAACCGAGGAGAGAAAAAAAAGAGAGAGATCACTTGCTAGAGTAGCAGCTTGGTAAAGAGTAGGCAGTAGTGGAAGATGCAGAGATGCTAAAATTAACTTAGGTTAAGAACTAGCAGGGGTGACAGCCCAAGCCTATGTTAGATGTAGGGCATGTGGAGGCAAGGAATAGTAGACAGCAGGGAAAAGGTCATGTATTTGCTGTGAGCTAACTTTTGATGGGAGAGCAAGTTGGGGTCAGGTTGAGTAGAGCGGAAATGACTCCATAGCCCAGTTAGGGTTGCCAACTTTCTAATCGCACAAAATCAAAAACCCCTTCTCCGCCACTTCTCCAAGGCCCCACCTCCACTCACTCCATCCCCCGCTCCCTCCGTCGCTCGCTCTCCCCCACCCTCACTCACTTTCAATGAGCTGGGGCAGGGGGTTGGTGTGTGTGTGGGGTGAGGGCTCTGGCTGGGAGTACAGGCTCTGGGGTGTGGTCGGGGATGAGGGGTTTGAGGTGCAGGGGGGGCGGCTCCAGGCTGGGGCAGGGGTGTGTGTGTGGGGAGTGAAGACTCCGGCTGGGGGTACAGGCTCTGGGACGGGCCCGAGGGGTTCAGAGTGCGGGGCGGGCTCTGGCTGGGGGTGTGGGCTCTGGGGTGGGGCTGGGGATAAGGGGTTTGGGATGCAGGAGGGGTCTCTAAGATGGAGCAGGGGATTGAGGTGCGGGGGGGATGAGGCTCTGGCTGGGGGTGTGGGCTCTGGGGTAGGGCCGGGGATAAGGGGGTTGCGGTGAAGGAGGGGGCTGGGACAGGGTGTTGGGGCTGTGGGCTCTGGGAGGGAGTTTGGGTGTGGGGGGGACTCCGGGCTGGGGTGCAGGAGAGAGTTCTGGCAGCGGGGTCCCGGTGGTGCTTACCGCAGCTCCTGGGAAGCGGCCACCAGGTCCCTGCAGCCCCTAGACGCATGAGTGGCTGGGGAGGATCCACACACTGCCTTCTTGCCCACAGGCGCCCCTTCCCCCGTGCAGCTCCCATTGGTCACGGTTCCCAGCCAATGAGAGCTGCAGAGCCAGCCCTCAGGGAGGGGACAGTGCGCAGAGCCTCCCTGGCTGCCCATGCATCTAGGGGCCACAAAGACTTGGTGGCTGCTTCTGGGAGCCGCGCGGAGCTAGTGCAGGCAGGGAGCCTGCCTTAGCCCCAGGCCCCCGCTGCGCCCCCGACCGAACTTTTAATGGCCCGGTCAGCACGCCGGGGCCCTTTTCAACCAGGCATTCTGGTCGAAAACCGGATGCCTGGCAGCCCTAAGCCCAGTGGTTAGAGCCACCATCTGGGAGGTGGGAGGAGACCTGGGGTCCAGACCCCTGCACCAACCACTCTTTCACTATTTATCCAAACGGAACAGTTTTAATGGGAGAGCCTCAGGGAGCCCCACATCAGAATATCCCACAGCTGAGGGGCTAGAGAACTTTCCTGAAAGGTGGGAGTCGCCTGTTCAAATCTTTTCTCCCCCGCTGACAGAGAGGTGGGAATTAAATCTAGTGTCCCACATCCCAGGCAAGTGGTCTAATCACTGGGCCAAAAATTACAAGGTGGGCAACTCCTCCTCCAGCCAGTACTTGAATGGGACCCAGTCCAATAGGTGCCTTCTGAGCACACTTACAGGATTAGGCCTCACATGCAGTTTAGGCAGCTGAATGCCTGTCTTCCCCCTGGTTCATGGATCGCATGGGGGCTTAGTCAGGAGACACAGGTGAGTCGCATCATACGCGCATTTAACTTACGTGAATTCGACTATACGCGCTCGGCAAAAAAAAAAAAGAAAAATAACAAGATACCTGTAAATAGTGTGGGCGATTCCACCCACCATTCCACTCAATGGGCGTATGCCCCAGAGTGAGTGTGAGATGGGAGACGTGAATCTGCTGTTCCCTCAGTCAGTCTCAGTTCCCACGTGCCTCTCATAGTGTGAGCATCTCGCCGTGCTGAGTGTGATTCTAGTGTTTAAAGATACGTATTTTTCATACAACATGGCCCCTAAACACAAGCCAACTACTTCATCTGGTGCTCAACTGAAGAAACAGCGATCTGTTCCAACACTGGAGGAAAAACTGGCTGTGTTGGGCTTATTGAGAGATGGTATGTCGGTCTCCAACATGGCATGTAAATATGGCCGCAACGAATCTAGCATCTGTGCTATCAAGATTCGAGAGAGAGAAATTCGTCAAGCCGTGGCATCAGGTGCTCTAATAACTGCTACAGTGATGAGCCAGGTGCGTGATAAGACTTTAGTGAAGACTGAAAAGGCTTAAACTTATGGCTGGAAGACATGAACCGCAAACATGTGCCTATCGATGGCAACACTTTGCGAGAAAAGGCTCTTAGCCTCTACGCGCTGTTCATACCTCCTGACGAAGAGGGACAGCCTTCTGATGAGAAGGAATTGAAAGCCAGCCAAGGTTGGCTTAACAGTTTTAGGAACCACTTCAACCTCACAAACATGCAGACTACTGGTGAAGCTGCATCTGCCAATGAAGAATGATTTAATTTCTGAATACGATCCCTCTATGGAACAAAGCCTCAAAATCACACGTCGTATTACAGACGATTTGAGACCGTATCAAGAAATGTTTGAGCAGCTCAAGAGACAACAGCGACAGTTGCCGATCACCATGTTTTTCAAGGAAAAACAACCAGCAGCAGATGAGCCTACGCAATCAACTTCTCGAGCTGAACCAGAGCCCACCACTTGGTCTACGACTCGCTCTCCATCACCCAAGCTCTCCGTCACCTCCGTCTCCTGGATCGACATCAAGCCCTGACGACCCCCTGTAATTAAAAATACAGTACTGTAAAATTATATTTTGCATATGTACTCTTTATTATATACTGTATATTACTGTATACATTATGAATTTATACATATTACTGTACAGGGTTGTATACACAAACCAAACACAGTATACTGTACTTTCTGGGCGATTTAACGGACTTTCAAGGGTAATTTTGACTGTACGCAATTGTAGCCTTACGCGCTGACTTTAGAACCTAACCCCCATGTCAGATGCGACACCACTGTAGGCATCTGAACCCCTAGAGAGAGAGGCAGCAGTGTACATGCCCAAAGCTGAAACATCGGTCCCCAGAGAACTTTTACTTTGAAAAATTTAGGCATCTACAGGATTTGGCTGGAGTTTTGTGGATTGCAGTAGAGCCAAAACTGAGATGTAGATGCCTAAAACAGGGGTATATATAGGCATCTAAGAGAGAACTAGAACTTTATTAACTAAGGGCTTGCTCCTGAAAAGTTCTGAGCACTCTTGTGAGGTGCTTCTGCAGACTTCAGTGGGAGTTGAGGGAGCTCATCAACTTGCAGGATAGAGGCCACACTACACAGGACTACCCTGAGAAATCATGATTAGTTAATGAACCAATCAGAACATGTCAAATTGCTTAAAACCTAACTGGTTTTGAGGAAAGTGAATGTAAAATCAAAATATCTGCTAAACTGAGCCCACTCCTCTCATTTTTCGCATGTGTAAACTTTTTAAAAGCCCATACCGATATTTCTCACTTTTAAAAAATATTGCTCCTAAACTGAGAGTTTGTATTCTAACTTTAATGCTTGGGCAGATCTTTGATCTATGGTATAGGGTGGGTTATAATATCAAAACTAGTAAACTTTAATTACTGAGTTATACTGGTGGCATCCACTTAGCTGATGCTGTGCAAGGGTGTGAGCTTATTCCTATGTTTATACTGGTTGATTGGCCTCATTTCTTGCTGTTACAGTTTAAACAATGTTTTATGCATTTGTTCAAAGGTTCAAACAGAGCATCTGAAAATAAACAAAAAGGGTAAGAAGAGTTAGTTCATTTGAAGTCCAGTATTGCCAGATGAGGTGGTGAAATGTGACTTATTTTTATTCTGGATTTCCACTGTATTAGACAATACAAAGAAAAATGAAGTCTGTATTCTTAAGCAACTTAGCTTGATATATTTTTGCACAATGAGTGAAAGAGCCATAATTATTAGCTCTTATGTAAATCAATGTTCTGCTATTAACATATATAAGTTTAGGTTCCACCTTGTCAGTGACATAGGATGAAGGAGATTATTTTTCATGCCACACTGACTTCAACAAGATTTCATAGGGTCATGAAGAATGGTTACTTACTTGTACAGTAACTGTTCTTTGAGATGTGTTGAGCACATATACATTCCTCTGCCGGTGTGTGTGTGCCCAGTGCACTTAAATCGGAGACTTTTTAGCAGTATCACTGGGCAGCACGTGCACCCGTGCTCTCCTTGTGCTCTCAGGTGATGCCATAAAACAGGCAGATCCACCGCTTCTCTCTCTTCTCCTTCACATCTCAGTATATAATGTCTTAAGTAATAGGGAAGGTGAGAGAGCCATGGAACATATATGTGCACAACATATCTCAAGGAACAACAGATACTTCAGTGATTGTGCATATATACATTCCTTTACAAGTGACTTACCAGCACTTCCCTTACAAGTAGAGGGACTTTGGATCATGTGACACTGACTTGCCAAAGTTGGCATCGTCACAAGAGCCTTAAGTGATGGCATAATGACTGGAAAAGCTATGTACAGATGACCATTTGGCTGCTTTGCAGGTGTCAGCTATTAGGATATTGCTCAGAAAGGCTGATGAAGTGGACTGAGCCCTGGTGGAGCAAGACGTTATTCTCCGTGGAGGACACACTTTTAGCAGGATGGTAGCAGAGCATAATGCAGTCAGAAATCGAATGTGAGATATGCTGAGCTGATACTGATTGACCCTTAATTCTCTCAGTGTGTGCTACAAAAAGCCTGGAAGAAGTTCTGAAGGACCTAGCATGATCCAGATAGTACACAAAGCTCTATGAACATCCAAGATAAGAAGTTTTTCTTTAGCTTTGGAAGAATGTAGTTTTAGGAAAAATACCAGAAGATTAATAGTTTGGTTCAGATGGAAAACTAACACAATCTTAGACATAAACTTAGGGTATGATCTATGCCCCAAAAATGCTGTCTTCATAGATAATAAAGATAGAGAGGTTGTAGCAATGGGTTCAGAGGTGGAGGTGTCGGAATACTGATGAAGTGATTGGTGCCGGCCTAACAGGTTGGAGAATTGGTGATGGTGCTGAGTACACCAATAATGCCGATGACTCTAAATGCTCCTATGCTATGGAGGGAGCCAGTGGTGCTGATCATGCTGATAGTGCTGAAAACACTGGAGTTCCCTTAAATGAAGCCAGCTGCAGCGAAGGAGAGTCTGATAGGGAAAGGCAGAGAAGATACCTTGCCAACAAGAGCACCTGCAACAAGAGCAACAGGTAAGTTCATTGGTGCCAGTGGAGCTGAGATAGACTGGATTAGCTGGAAAGGAGAAGAGGGACCCACTAACGGTGAAGATACTGATCTCAAAAGTGCAGAAGGAGCCAGAGTTGATGGTGCTGCCTCAGACAGAGCTGGTGAATGTTTAGATTTGTGACGCCTCAAACTGGTATCTGAAGATTACTAGAAGATTTTTTTAGGAGACATCTGAGACTTCACAGACTTGTTAGCATTGGAAAGCTTAGAGTGCTTCAAAGAGGCTGATGATGAGGGCAACGGGTGACATCACTTACCAGCTGTGTGCCTCAAATGAGGGGCAGCTGGAGGGCACTCCTCATCAGTCTAAATCTGCTGCTTCATGGGTAGGGCTCAGTTCTGATGCAGGATGCATCGCTTCTTTCATGAAGTGAACTTTGAGGTGGACATCCCTCTGTTTTTTAGTCCTGGTGGGGGAAAAGGTACAAATGGAGCATTATCCTTCACATGGCCCTCAGCAAGACAAACCAAGCAGCTCTTGTACCTATCCGTGACAGGCACAGCAGCCGTGCCCTGTGACACACTGCTTAAAGCCTGGGGATTTTTTCATAATATCCTCCGGGTAACTACTAAAACCATAAGTAACTACACTGCACTAAATACGATAACTGTGTCTACTAAAGAGTTTTGAAATACTGGCTAACCAAAGCAAATGCTATCAGGAGCACCAAATCTCACTATGCACAATGAGAAAACTGAGAAGGAGGCTGCAGACCACCCCTTTTATATACCCTTGCCATGGAGAAAGAGGAGAGCAGGCGTCCGTGCACCATCTAGTGGTGCTGCTGGCAAAAGTCTCCAATTCAAGTCCATTGGGCCTACATACACCTGCAGTGGACTATGTATGTGCACAATCACTGGAAGAAGAGCTAGCAGGATCCAATTTCCATTGAAGGCAGAGGAAAGACATGTGACTTTGGATCAGGCCCTTGGTGTCTGGGTCTCTTCTTAATGGAATATTTTTCTAAACTTCAGTGCACAATTTGTACTGAAATTGTACTGAATTTGGATTGCCACTATGCAATCAATATACAATTCTAGTCAGAGACTTCTTCAGCATTTCCATACATTTTGACCTCTTTAGAGGTAGAGACATGGAAAGCACCTGGAAATTCCTGTGGAACTACTCGCCTGGGGTGTCACATGATCAGTACTGAAGTTTGCAGTGTAGAATGAGATCAAAATCAAGAGTAGTTTAGCTGTAGAAGTGGGGAAGGAAAACGACTACTTTAAATATTTGGTTTATGCAAAATTTAAATTTTGCTATTTCTATTGCCAAAGAATTATGAATTATGTTGTTTGAGTCTTTTCTATCCTATAGACATCCAGATTTTTGTAACTGTGCACAAAAATGCATCTGGCATGTGTGTTTGTGAAATTACCATAAGTACGTGCATATCTGCAGTGTTGTATACGCAGATCGCCAGTTACCCATTTAGCTGGACATTTGAACTTGTATGTTTAAAAATGTGGTCCTAATATTCTTTGCATTCCTTGAAACCACCTGAATTTATTTTTGCCTGTTGTCTGAAAAATGACAGCATGGTGTATGATTAAGATGTTAATGCTGGTTAACACTGTGATATCAGGCTTCTCCGCTAACTTGTAGCTCTCATAAATATAAAGGGAAGGGTAAACCCCTTTAAAATCCCTCCTGGCCAGAGGAAAAACCCTTTCACCTGTAAAGGGTTAAGAAGCTAAAGGTAACCTCGCTGGCACCTGACCAAAATGACCAATGGGGAGACAAGATACTTTCAAAAACTGAGAGGAGGGAGAAAAACAAAGGGTCTGTGTCTGTCTGTGTGATGCTTTTGCCAGGGACAGAACAGGAATGGAGTCTTAGAACTTAGTAAGTAATCTAGCTAGGTATGTGTTATGTATTTTCTTTAAATGGCTGAGAAAATAGCTGTGCTGAATAGAATGACTATTCCTGTCTGTGTGTCTTTTTTGTAACTTAATGTTTTGCCTAGAGGGATTCTCTATGTTTTGAATCTAATTACCCTGTAAGGTATCTACCATCCTGATTTTACAGAGGTGATTCCTTTACTTCTATTAAAAGTCTTCTTGTAAGGAAACTGAATGCGTTTTCATTGTTCTAAGATCCAAGGGTTTGGGTCTGTGGTCACCTATGCAAATTGGTGAGGATTTTTACCAAACCTTCCCCAGGAAGTGGGGTGCAAGGATTGGGAGGATTTTGGGGGGAAAGACGTGTCCAAACTCCATTTTTTTCAGGAACCCACATAAAGTTTGGTGGTGGCAGTGGAAATCCAAGGGCAAAGGGTAAAATTAATTTGTACCTTGGGGAAGTTTTAACCTAAGCTGGTAAAGATAAGCTTAGGAGGTTTTCATGCAGGTCCCCACATCTGTACCCTAGAGTTCAGAGTGGGGAAGGAACCTTGACAGTAGCCTTTGGCCTGCTCTACGCTACAGTTAGGTCAACTCAAGGCAGTTTACATCAACCTAACTATGTATGTGTCTACAGTAAAATTTTGCTCCCACCAACATAACTGCTATGCTACACCAACTTAATAACTCCACTTCCATGAGAGGTGTAGACTCAATGTCAATGTAATTAGGTTGACCCAGTGTCAATGGAGACACTGCATTGCTTACCTTGACTGTTACTGGCTTTCAGAAGCCATCCCACAATGCCTCACACTGACAGTGCAATTGATACAAGTGCTCCTGGTGAGGACATGTACCGCCAACACAAGGAGTAAAGCGTAGACATGCACAGGTGATGTAATTACTACGGCGGCTGTATGATTATGTAAATTAGGTCAACTTATTTTTGTAGTGTAGACGTGGCCTTATACTCTAAACAGATTGTTACTGAATGGATTTTCATCCTTGTCTCCATCAATTCACATTCTATTGTGGCCCCACAATTTAGCAGAATTGATCAATTCAGCTTTACACAGTTTTACAGAATTTAGCGGTCCTGTGCATCAGCTACTAAATAACACTGCGTATTTGCCATGCTGCCATTTATGTAGTAAACTTCTTAAGATTAAAAGATGAGATGCTGAGCGTGGAGCTAACTTTTCAAAGAAGCGCACAATACCTTTTGCGCTCCCAAGACCCTCCTATAAGTCTGAACATTTGACAAGTGTACCCCTATGTGCCTGTTTGCACTTACAATCATCCAGTTTGCACGCACATGACTTCATGGGTACACTCTTGTAAGCCTGCTGGGGTGAAGACCGTCTTTTTGTTCTGTGTTTGTGTAGCACCTCACACAGGTGCTCCAGTAATACAAATAATAAATAACATTCACTTTATACTCCTTTAAAAATTGACTCAGTAGGTCAAAATTATTCTCTTCTACATTTACATATAGTTGAAGAAAGCATGCTGAGCAGTCTTTGGTTGCCAGTGGTTTGGAACTGGAACAAAGAGAGTGAAACTGCTCAGAACTGTGGTTTAATGACAAATCTGTAAGGGGATTTTCTACTTTCATGAGCACCAACCTCCCTCATGTTATTTGTAGAAAACATATATAATAGTGGAGGGATGCTTTGTGTTTTTCTTCTTCCAGCAATAGAAATGCCAGCAGCAAAAGCACTGTATCATGTAATCATTTAAACAAGCTATCATCTGTGCTAGTGATGTTCTCCTACACAGCTGAAAATGCCTGGAAGTGACCATGTGATACATGGGTAGTGGCTGAGCTGAGAGTGCTGAAATTTAACCATTTAAAATCGTAAAATTTTGTATTACAGTATTTTAGATTTTTTGAAATTATATTTGTATGCAAGCAGGTATACATAGTAGAAATATTATATACCTAAATAGCAGTCCAGAAGAAAAGGGAAACAAGTATAAGTTTAAACATAGCAAATGTCTGTAGGCAAGGACTGGCCTGTCTCCCAAGTTTTGTGAGAGTGTTGGGTCATCCTTCAGGATAGGTTGTAGATCCTTAATAATGCGTTGGAGGGGTTTTAGTTGGGGGCTGAAGGTGACGGCTAGTGGCGTTCTGTTATTTTCTTTGTTAGGCCTGTCCTGTAGTAGGAGACTTCTGGGAACTCTTCTGGCTCTATCAATCTGTTTCTTCACTTCCGCAGGTGGGTATTGTAGTTGTAAGAATGCTTGATAGAGATCTTGTAGGTGTTTGTCTCTGTCTGAGGGGTTGGATGACCCAACACTCTCACAGATCTTGGGAGACAGGCCAGTCCTTGCCTACAGACAGCCCCCCAACCTGAAGCAAATACTCACCAGCAACCACATACCACACAACAGAACCACTAACCCAGGAACCTATCCTTGCAACAAAGCCCGCTGCCAACTGTGCCCACATATCTATTCAGGGGACACCATCACAGGGCCTAATCACATCAGCCACACTATCAGAGACTCGTTCACCTGCACATCCACCAATGTGATATATGCCATCATGTGCCAGCAATGCCCCTCTGCCAAGTACATTGGTCAAACTGGACAGTCTCTACGTAAAAGAATAAATGGACACAAATCAGATGTCAAGAATTATAACATTCATAAACCAGTCGGAGAACACTTCAATCTCTCTGGTCACGCGATTACAGACATGAAAGTTGTGATATTACAACAAAAAAACTTCAAATCCAGACTCCAGCGAGAAACTGTTGAATTGGAATTCATTTGCAAATTGGATACAATTAACTTAGGTTACCTTGCATAATGACTTAGCCACTCCCAGTCTCTATTCAAGCCTATTTCCCCTTGTTTTTTCCTACCCCCGCCCCCAGACGTTCTTGTTAAACCCTGGATTTATGCTGGAAATGGCCCACCTTGATTATCATACACATTGTAAGGAGAGTGGTCACTTTAGATAAGCTATTACCAGCAGGAGAGTGGGTTTGTGTGTGTGTGTGGGCGGGGTGAGAAAACGTGGATTTGTGCTGGAAATGGCCCAACTTGATTATCATACACATTGTAAGGAGAGTGATCACTTTAGATAAGCTATTAGCAGCAGGAGAGTGGGGTGGGAGGAGGTATTTTTTCATGCTTTGTGTGTATATAAAAAGATCTTTTACACTTTCCACAGTATGCATCCCATGAAGTGAGCTGTAGCTCAGGAAAGCTTATGCTCAAATAAATTGGTTAATCTCTAAGGTGCCACAAATACTCCTTTTTTTAGATAATCCCTCGTGTGCTAGGGCTAAAGCCTGTCACTCAGTAAAGGAAGATTTCATAGGAGAGCAGGATCAGGGGGGGGCTGCTGGGAAGCGGGGAAATGGGGGGGGAGGGGAGCAGTTCAATTCCCTATGCTCAGTTCTTTGCCCCCTTGGCTTAAGTTGTCATCATGTAATTACATCGCCCATGGGGCGGCTCTAACCCAGCGCTGCTTCCACCGCTGACCTGTGTGGTCCCCCCGGCCCTGCTCCCGACTTCAGTGCCCGGCAGCGGGCTTGGGCTCCTGCACCGCGTCTCAGAGCCCGGGAAGGGAAGCTGGGTGCCCCGCGCCTTGCCGGCCCTGCTCAGTCTGGTGGGAGCTGGGCTGAGCCTCCCCCCCATCACACACCGCCCAGGGCGCCCCCGATCATCGCCCACCCCCAGCTGCTCACACCTCCTCCGCAAGGGTTAAAAGCAAGACGTCAAGGGCGGCCAGCGCCGAGCCCCTGCCCCACCCCGCTCCCATGTGATCGCGACGCCCGCCGCAGCCGCCGCCTCGCGTGCTCGCTCCGCTCTGTCCTGCACCGGCTGGGCAGCTGCAGCCTCCGCCCCAGCGCTCCTCTGCTCGGCCGAGGGCAGCTCCCCGGAGTCTGGACTCTCCCGCCCCGCGCGCTGCGAAGCCTGAAGATGGCGGCTTATAAACTCCTTGGCAGGCTGAGCCCCGGCATCTCCCCTCCCGCCGCTCGGGGAGCTCGCAGGGGGGGGCGCCCCGGCGCTGCGGGCAGCCCAAGCCAAGGTAAGGAGCGCGGCGGGCCGGGGGAGGGGAGGGCAAGCAGAGAAAGTCCCCCAGCTCTGAGCGAGTCCTGGTTGTGCTGGCCTCTGTCCACAGCACGAGTGCGTCCCATTGACCGTGCCCTGCAGCGACCTTGTGAATTGCCTTAATCGATGGCCTGTTTCCCCGCTTTCCGCCTCGCTGCATAGCCACGGGCTCCGCGCCGCCGCCGCCTCCCCGCCCTGGCTACGTTGTAGCTGCTGTCAGATTCGGCTACAAAATGGCACGTTTCAGCTCTGCCCGGCCTGAGAAGCGAATCTGGAGAGTCCTTCAGCCCAGCCAGAGGGCGGCGTGTGGGGCTGACCTTGGGGAGGGAAATCTCTGACTTAGGATCCTGCCCTCTTTACTTTTCATAGCCAGCATTCAGGGCTTCCCGTTTCTTCATCAGATCCGTTCTTGCGTTAAGTGGGTGCCTGTTTTGGTCTGTAATGTGCACAGTGCAAAACAGCGTCTTATAAGATGCAGTGTCCTCCCTCCAGCTAGGTCACTGTGTTGGATCAGAAAAGAAGGGAAACTGGCGTCATCAGGGTGTTATGATTAACTGATAATGAGCTAGTTGTTCAGGACTTGTGCTATTGTCTTCGGGTAAGACAAGATGTGACTTTTTTAATACACCTGTGAACAAATCCTTGGATATTTCCTCAGCCCCAGAATGGCCTCTTCTGCTGCGAGAGGCTTCTTACTAAGCAATATAGATGAAAACACTAGTCTCTTTATATTGCTAGCTAAAATGTATTAAAGGGGAAATGAACTACTTTCACCATGCCCTTTGGTAGCTTTTAAATTACTTGGTTTTAATAAATGGTGTGCCTCGCACCATAGGATATGGAAGATGGGGTCTGATCTTGGGGTCAGTTAAGATTTTTAGGGCTAAAATTCAAGATGTAGGGCGCATCTCCTGCAAGTTTGAAACTTGATTTGGAGCTTTGCATGTAGTGACCTTGCAGGATGGGGCCTGTAGTTCATAATCTGAAATCTTTTTTTCAACATTTGGAGTATTGATGACTTTGTAAGATGTATTCATCAATTTAAAATATGCTATTCATTGTATAGCTTCAACATTTTCACAGGTGGGGGTGGTTGACCTATAATCTTACCCCCATGGTTCTGTACAGTGCAAACAACGGATGATGATTCTGCATAACAAATCACAAACAGCACTTAACAACTGAAAACCTAGTTCATTTCACCTTGGCAAGGCTTCCGAAGCTAAGGATTTATATCCACATATTTATATATCTCCTTTTATAGAAGTGTGTGTGTGTGTGTGCAGATACGTAAGCCAAACGATATGGGTAAGATGAGAAGCATATTCCACCTGTACTATTTAGAGCTGCAACCCCATAATTAATGTTAGTGCCAGACACTTTAAAATCAGTACACTGGGTTAAGTGAGTTGCATTTATTGGAAGAAATGAACAAATACTGATATTTAACTATGGACATATTTATAAAATACACTGACATCTGTAGACAAGATCATCTTATTAGGCTATTTCTTATCTAAAGAGACCCCTAAGTGGAATCAATGCTACATATAAACATAGTAGCATAATATATATGTCATGAATGCCAGGAGAAGCAGAGCAGCCAGAGGTGATCTTTTGAAGGACCAGGAAGGGCCCTGGTTCACAAAAAGGTATTGGAGCTCAATCCTCCTTCCTTTCCAAACACTGGAAGACTCTTTGCTATTCAAACTCTGAACTTAGCAGATGCAGTCTCCTCCTACACAGGATAAAGCTGTAATGCAAAACATTTTGTTCATGCATGCTGATTTCTTTTCATGTTGTTCCAGATTTGTGGCTGCTTTTTCTCTACCAGCAGCCATCGCAACACCAAATTCTATACTGACGCTGTGGAAGCAGTAAAAGACATACCCGATGGGGCAACTATACTTGTTGGTGGTAAGTATTTATTTTACTATCCTTCATGGAGAAAACCTCTCATCTTCTGAGTAGGACAGTCTCAACTTGAATTTTTTAATTGACTAATTTTAAATAAAAAATGGTTAGAACACCTTTTAAATATCATGTAGCACGGAAAATATTTTGTCTTCACATAGCATTTCCTACTGTCCTATTGATGATTACAGGGGCCTTTTCAGTAAGGAAAAAACTGACGGAGTCTTAGCAGAAAAAAAAGGGGGGGAGACAGAAAATTCCCCCTCTAACTGTCAGTAACAAAAATCTTGGATGTTACTTGATGTGGAATGTTTTCAGGTGGGTCGCCTTTTCAGGTTGCTAGTATCCCTTTAAATGATGAGACAAAAATTTGCAGTTTGGTAAAATTTAATATAGATTTTGGTGAAAAGTGGAAGATAAAAAAATTGGGAGCTGGGGAACGCAGAACTCTTGCCATCTGTTTAGTGCACATCTTCAAGCACCTCTGCAGTTGTCTACATATCAATGAATTGATTGATGGCACAAATTTAATACCCTATTTCATCTCTGCCCACCCTCCCAATAGAGCTAAACATGTTGATTTATCTCCGAGACGGAAAGAAGAGAAATGCTAAGAGTGGGTGGGGAATGGGTGATGACTGACCCTGACATGGCAGGGAGAATGGGCAAACGGAGCCTCCGGCATGGGGTGGAAGGTGGGAATGCAGGCACACACACATGACATGGGGGAGTGGAGAGGAACAGAGAACTCATAACAAAGGGGAATGGGGAACCCTGACAGAGGGAGAATGGGGGCACACAGAATTGCTGGCAGATGGAGAGATTGGGGGAGCTGGTTTGGGAGGAATGGGGGTAATGGAAAAATGGGGGTGCACACAAAGCCCCTGATTTGTGCAATGAATTTGGTCTAAAGAAGCACCCAAGAGTGTGGCTCCCTACTTATATTGTGCTTAATGAATATGGGTAACTTGGGACTTGAGCGCCAAAGGCCATGTCTACATTACAAACTTTGGTTGATGCAAGTTACGTTGGCATAAAGCCACTGCAGTTAGAACATTGCTTGTACGCATGCACACTTGGCTCCTTGCATTGGCGCTGCACGTATTTTCCAGGAGTGCTTGTGTCCATGCGTAGTGCGGTGCATTGTGGGTAGGTATCCCACTGTGCAGCCCGTCACCCTCCAGCACACTGGAGGGTGACGTGAAAGCAAACTTTCACGAAGTTTTGGCAATGCCTGGTAGGGCAGAAGTGAGTTGCACAGGAATGACTGGGAGCATGGGGTCAACTTCCCAGCGCGCCACTCTCCATCCCGTAATGACATCTGTCCCTTAATTTCACTCCTTTTTAAAAATTTATGAACCTGTGTGGCCCTCCTTGCTTTCTGCCATCTCAGTGCAGAACTCTGCAATCTCCACACTTCTGTCAGAACAGTTGCAAACAAAGGACGCACAATTCTCCAGTATTTGTAGAGCCGGAAGAAGAACCAAATGGGTAGAGGGGGAAGATTGCTGTGGGACATAGTACAAACCAATTGAAGGCTGTTGGTGGCATTCACATAGCTGCAGATGGTGGTGCACCACTCCTGGGCCCAAGAAATGAGCACTGACTGGTGCGATCACATCGTAATGCTGCCTTGGGATGACCAGCAGTGGCTGCAGAACTTTCAGATGTGCAAGGCCACATTCCTGGATCTGTATGCTGAGCTCACTCTAGCACAGGGACACCAAAATGAGAGCTGCACTGACAGTAGAGAAGCGAGTGTTGATCACACTGTGGAAACTTGCAGTGCCGGATTGCTAGTGGTCAGAGAGAAATCATTTTGGAGTTGAAAAAATCCATTGGGGGTGGGGGCTGTTTTATGCAGCATGCAGGGTTAATTGTCTCTTGCTATGGAGGGCTCTGACTCTTAACAACATACAGGACATAGTGAATGGTTTGCAGCAATAGGGTTCCCAAACTGCGGTAGAGCAAGAGACAGCATGCATCTCCCTATTTGGCACCAGACCACCTTGCCACTGAGAACATCAACAGAAAGGGATACTTTTCTATGGTTATGCAAGCATTGGTGGATCACCAGGATGCTTCATCAACATCAATATTGACAGGTCAGGGAAGGTGAATGATGTTTGCATCTCTAAGAACACAAGACTGTTCAGAAAACTGCAACCAAGGACTTATTTTCCCGATAGGTAGATTACAATTGGTGATATTGAAATGTCAATAGTGACCCTGGGGAATGCAGCCTATCCTGGCTCCCCATGCTTATGAAGCTATACGCTGGCCACCTCGACCACACCAAGGAAAGATTCAATTACAGGCTCAGCAGGTGCAGAATGACAGTTGAATGTACCTTTGGTAGATGGAAGGGATGCTGGTTTTCACTCACAAGGATGGATTTCAATGGGGGGGCGGGGAAATATCCCAATAGTTAAAGCTGCCTGCTGTGTCCTGCAGAATATATGTGAAGCAAAGGGGGAAAAGTTGCTGCCGGGGTGGGGGTGGAGTGACCGTCTGCTGAGTTTGACCAGCCAGACACAAGAGCTATAAGAAGAGCTCAGCACAGAGCTATCTGGCTCAGGGAGGATTTGAAAGAGCACTCTAAACAGTTAAATCACAGTAATGCATTGTGGTGGAGTGTGCTCTCTCCCTGGCCCGGTTGTTTTGCGGCCTGTTAGGAATTGTGGGTGCTTGGCACACATCTATGAATATAACACTCCCAATGCACCTGTTAATTCTGTGGTGCTTCCTGTATATTTGATTATTGCACTGTCACAGATCCCATGAGTTTGTCACACTGCACAGTAACAAGTATGTAGGTACTTCCAGAATAAAGATGAATTATTTCCCAAATAATAAAATTTTATTCAGTAACAAAGTCAGTGCAAAGAAAAATCTGCAGCTTAAAATCAAATACATTTAAAACTCAATAAATTAATGCAACAGAACTTAAAAAGGGAAAGAACATTCACATCTATTTTACCTACCCATGCAGCAAGTGGGGCATTCACAGGTCAGTGTATGTGTAGCTGTGGTTGTCCATAATGTCACCGGGTGGAGTGGTAGGGGTTGAGATGCTGCCCCTGATGCCATGTGATATGTTGAGGGGGTGGTATAGGGAAGTGCTGTAATGGAGTTGTCTGTGGACTGCAAAGGGAGGCAAGCCTGTGCTATTAAACCTGTAGGTTCACAAAGGTCTGCAGAATCTGTATTTGCTGCCGGAGAAGCTCCACTATGTCCTAGTGTACTTCCCTCTCTTTTTCCTGCTGGGACTCCTGGGCCTTTCTCCTGTCTGCTCTTTCCTTCTCCAGGCTGTCTGCACTGTTCATCCTACATGTCCTTTGCTCATGGTCTGGTGCAGCACTGGCTTGCAGGATCTCATTGAACATATTGTCCTGAATTGTCTTTTTTCCCCTCCTTATCTGGCTCAGGCATTTGGCGTGTGTGTCGGGGGTGGGGGTGGGGGTGGGGGGGAACACCCCACGATGCCGCAAAGGCAGAAGCTGCAGATTAAAACACACACAGCTGCCTTTGTCAATATAGTCACAATGGAAAGTTAAGGTTCAGACCTTCCTTCCCTTGCTCCCCTAAAGTTTTAAACAGGACGTGCTTATTTGCACTTCTGCTTCAGAGTAATTGTGCACAGTGCCACTCACAGCACCAGCCATGGCCCTCAAAGGTGAGGGAAACGAGGAGGGAATTTCTTGGTTGCATGGAACTATGAGAAGGGCAATGGCAATGAA